ATCAAAACATCAGAATCTAGGGTCACTGCAGTGAGTTTGTCATCCACTCGTCTGCTTTCAGACACCACATCTACACACATCGGCTGCGTCTGAAAGCTGCAGAATGCTGTCTTTGGAGGTTACATTCTAAGGTAGGAAGGCATCAAGGCACATCCAAATCCTATGTTAGTTTCACTTCCTGTCTTCTGAGATGCCCTCATCTGATGGATGATTTATGAAGGCAGCATAGATGTATCCTTCTCTGTCTATGATATCCCACAATACTGTGTATTCAGTTCCATCACAGCTGAGCTAAAAAAAACGAACAAAAAAAGGCATCTGAGAGTTGTGGTTGGTTGTCAGTTTGTGTGTAAATATAAGTTCTTCTAGTGAGAAATTAGTATTGTAGTAATTAAGTATTCACTTAATTACAAACAAAGTGCTTTCTATTTTGTTGTGAATCATTAAATTGTATGCTGCCTCAGAAGCAAAATCAGTTTTGTGAGACATGTGCACACACACCATGTTGGTTTTGTGGTTTGTGGAGGAAGAGGTGGCTGTTGGGTAGTTCCTGGTTCAAATTAAACGCTATATAAGCACTCAAGATGAAAGAGAGGTGAAAAGTACACAAGAAGCTGCTAAGAAAGAGGAAGGACAGTCACAGCACAATAACAGAACACAGTGTATTAATATAGTACAGCATTTACACCAATAACAAGCAACCAACAGTGTAGCATAATATTTGGTTGTTGACAAGGGGCCTATATTTATTAAAAACAATTAACAAAGAATATATATGTTTTATATTTGTTTCTTCAGAAATAATACAGAAATAAGTATGTGTATATTTTTTAGTACTAAGTTTTGTTCCGCTATTATTATTAGTAGTAGACAATTTTCTTACCATACTCAATAAATCCTCTGTAAAGGCAGGATGTGATCATGAGTTCCTGTTTTAATTTAAATCGTCACACTCGAGGATCGTTTCAAGTTCATTTTGTTTCAGATTATTAATGAATGAGCCTATTTCAACCTATTTTGACCAGGTGTGAATATAAGAGTGAGTTTGGACATTCTGGTCTGAATGCTTCTCAGCTTCTTCATAGATGGAAGGGGTTTAAAGTAGTTGTGGGAAGGATGAGAGGAGTCCTTCCTAATGAAGGTTGCTTTCTTCACACACCTTGTGATATGAAGCAGTACAGCAGTAAGTTTGGCTCCAGTGATACATTGTGCCGTCTTCGCTACCCTCTGCAGGGCGTTCCTGTCAGATGCTGAGCAGTTTCTATAGCAGATGGTGATACAGCTGGTTAGTAACTCTCAATATTGCAGAGGTTTTCAAACCCTGGGTCGTGACCCTCAGGTGGGTTTTATGTTGAGCATGAGTAAGCCAAAGTCAAAAAGTACCAGTTATGATTGTTTCACAAGACAAAGAGGCCCTTATACTGAGACCCCTTCAAATGAAGCAGCAGAAAACCGTCCAACTCTGGCGCAAACAGCAGAGATCCACAGAAAAGATAGTGAAGGTGATGCATGCAAACATTGTAGCAATACTTCTTGTTCAGCAAAGAAAAAGCAGAAATCTGGAGTAAGACCATATGTGACCCTGGACCACAAAACCAGTCATAAGAGTCCATTTTTAAAAAATTGAGATTTATACATCATCTGAAAGCTGAATAAATAAGCTGCATGTTTGCATCATAATGCATGGTTTGTTAGGAAAGGACAATATTTGGCTGAGATACAACTAGGCTATATGAAAATCTGAAATCTGAGGGTCCAAAAAAACCCAAATACTGAGAAAATCACCTTTAAAGTTGTCCAAATGAAGATCTTAATAATGCATATTACTAATCAAAAATTAAGTTTTGATATATTTATGGTAGGAAATTTATATAATATCTTCATGGAACATGATCTTTACTTAATATCTTAATGATTTTTTCAATAAAAGAAAAATCAATCATTTAAACCCAAACGGTACAATCTATGATTGGCTATTGCTACAAATATACCCGTGCTGCTTATGAAAAATCATATAAAGATGATTTTTTGAAGTTTGGGTTCGTAAACTGTTCGGATGCAGGCCATACTGCCATACTAATGTGCGTAATATGCATTTGAAAAGTTGGCAAATGAAAGTTTGAAAGACGTTTAAGTACACATATAATTTTTGAATTTGAATTTTCTTGTAATTTTAATCAAACGCAAACAGAATAATTACATTTCACCATATAAAATTGAGGTAATAAAGATTTGAAATGTATAGTGATAATTCTCGATATCGACTGATATGAAAACTTTTATCGTGATCATGTTTTTTGGCCATATCGCCCAGCACTAAGTGCACATCATGCCGATTTTGCGGAACTTTTTATTTCAGAGGAAGGCTCAAGAAATTCAGTCATCAGCTCAGGTACTCAGCAGTAGCATATCAATCACAAATTACACTTGGCATATAATAAAGTGCCATATTATGTTGCCAAAGAAAAATGGCACATACAGTTGCAGAGAGATTAATATTACCTGCTGTACTATATATAGCTAATATACCTTGTGCAAAACAAGCATTTCATTGATACTACCTTTTATATCTACCTATATGTGCGAAACTGGATTCTCAATTTTTAACTAAAATATAGATGAAAGAAATAAGTTTAATGCTTCTCCGGACATGTGTGTTGCCCTATCATTTTACAAACCAGCTTAGGACCAGATTATGCAGAATGTACGTATATGTGACTTAATTTTATATACATTTTCAAAAGGTGCATGGTTGAATAATATTGGTCTTGTCAACTTAAAAAGATTTGAAAGCCACTGCTCCACACTATAAATTCAGCTCATAATAACAAGAAACAAGAATTAGTCTTTGCCATTTCCAAAAAGAGGAATGATATGGGGGTCCGGCTTTATAGTTGGTTTTTACAAAAGATTATATATTGTTGCATAAGTATTTCTACACTTTTTTCAATTATCAACTAATCATATCTCACAGAATCTGTTGCCTAACCTTTTATCACATGATTCCCTTTCATGGGAACTTCGAACTGCGTCCTCTAGGGGTCGCTATGGGGAACGCCTCGTCGTGACCCGTGTCTGAAGCATACATTGAAAAAACACCAACTCGTTGGCCGGCGACAGCCATGACGTCACTACTGGTGCAACTATAGTATAAATAGGCGCCGGGAGCTACACATCATTCTCTTCTTCGTCTTCATTGACTGTTTTGTTTGAAGCGTACATTTCTGTGGTAAGAGCAATCTCTATTTATCTCATTATGGCGAGCACTAGCAAAGCATTTAAGGATGTGTGCATCCATGTTGACGTTGGGGATCGCAGGTGGATCTGGCCAATGAGTTTGAAGGGGGGTTTCCCTTTCGTGATCGTCGGCTGTGCACGAGAGTGAGCTGCTGGAGGATGATATTATTTCATTAACATTGTCTGATTCAGGGGCCATTGCTC